ACAGGGTTGCTTCCTTCCCTGGGGTGGAGGGGTTGGCCACCTGCTGCAAGAGCCTCTTCTCTGCTTAATTAACCCCCCCCCCCCCGTTTCCATCCCCGGCGAACAGACCTCTGTGCCGGAAGGCAGGTGGGCCCCCCCAGCTGGAAGAGGGGAATTTCTGTTTCTTGCACAATGCAAGGAAGATCCCATGGGCACCCATTTGCAAAAGCAATTCTTAATGAAAAAGGCAAAATTTACTTGGCATGCTTCCCGGTCTAGCCTTTTGTGCTGGACTCTCCTCGTGGTCTCCCATCCGTCGGCGAACAAGGCCCTTCTTCGTTTTTTGAAATCAAGAACGGTCAGCTCGGTGCTGCCAGCTGCCAAGATGATTATCCTGATTAACGTTGCTGTGGTTAACTGGTAGGAAGCTGGAAATTATGCACCCAGCATGTGACAGGGACCTCGGTTGAGGGGTGCAGAGCCGAACTCTTCTTTACCTCCTGAAGTTGGGTAGGCTAGAAATAATTCCTGGGAATGTCAGGTTGCAAGAAACTTGATGGATGGCCCTCGGTCATTGCTACGTACCTGGGGTGGTTGTGAGGACGGGAAGAGTCAGAGCAAGATGGAAAGCCTTCGAATCCTTGAAGATGGTAGTTTGTAGCTGGGAAAAGTAGCTTGATGGTGGAATGTTTGGGGTAATCCTTGGCTAGATACCTCTGAACAGAAGCAGGAACAGGAGCTCGCTGGTACTTGCGCTGAGCAAGTGGGGGTCAGGCTAAATGGCCCCTGAGGATCCCACACTTCCCTCTTCTGTTGATGAATTCACCTCCCCTTCTGCAACCCGAACTCCCTCAACTTGCGGCTTTCTCTGACGCCGAATGCGCTTACGAAAGTGATGGGTAAAGGCGCGAATTTCAAAACAGAAATCGGGGTGCTTCCTTCAGCCAGCATCTTCCACACAACTGGGGTGACGCAACTCTAGTGAACAATTTTACCCTTCGCTTGTAGCCTGGAAGCCGAGAGGCGCCTGCTTTGGATGTCACACTCTTGCTGACCGAACGAGGTCTTCTTTAATCAGATTTGTTGAAAAGGGAAAGGTTGCAGAAGTCTCAACAGCTGGAACTGCTTTCTCTTCTTAGATGGAGAACGGGAGGAGTGTGCAGATGTTCTAAGCGGGTCGCGTTTTGCAAAACGTTGCTCGAGCCACAAGCAAGCTTCTGGTTTGGATAAGGCCCCAAAGAACCCCCAGTTCTTTGCTGGCCTGTCCCCGGCTCTCCCCCCAAGTCAATGCTGCCTGGTGGGATCTCTTTGGAGGAATCCAAAAATTGGGCCTGGGGATAATACCAGAGCAGATTCTGGCCAGGGGGAGGTCACGACAGCCAAGTTGTAAACTAGCATCCCGTGCCCAGCCTGGTTGTGAGGCCACGTGTGCCACGGGAAACCCACAGCTGAGGAATCGTGCGCAGGAAAGGCCTTTTTATAAAGCATTGCAGAAATAGTTGTATTGAACTGAATTCAGTTGAAGAATTGAGTATTTGCAAAGCAGCGGGCTTTGCATGTTAAATGGGCTAGATTCAGTAGGGAGCAATGGGGAATTCGCCACTCGGTGAAACGGGGTGCCAGATCGTTTCCTGTGCTGATTTTCAAGTTAGTGCTGTGTGCAGACCCATGAGGACTGGGAACTTAACTTGGCAAAGGAAAAGCCGTAGAGTAGAATTGTCTTAGTTTTGCAAAACGTAGACCTGTTTCCAAGGCGCAGGCATTAAACGCAGGCGCTGGGTTGGAAGAATTGAGTATTTGCATAAAGGTGCCTTAAAGGTAGGGTGTGTTTTTTTGGGGGGGGGCAGATTTGGAGTTTGCACCCCACTTCTTTTTCCCTGCTCACCCTTTTCAACTTTCTGCCCCCCAGAAAACTCCCACACGCCCCTGTTGGAGGGCACAGTAACCCAGATGACTCCGGAGGAGGATTACAGGCGGATGATGTCAGCACTCAACGAACACAGCACTTTTGAGGAGCAGCAGCGTCTCTACCAGTTGGCCAGCGGGATGTCCGTCCCGAGCCACAGTGGTGAGGATGGGTTGATTTCTCCCCCGTGCCAGGGTCATTTGCGGGAAAAGATATTCCTTGGAAAAAGGAACAGGGGGCTTTGGAATCAATGACAAATGGCAGAAAAAATCTCTCTCGTTTTTTGGAGAAAGGGTCTTTTTTTAAAAAAACGTCCTTGGGAAGGGGAATGTGGGGCTGTGGCAGAAAATCTTTTTTGGGGGGTGTGGGGGAAGAGTCTTAGAAAGGAAAGATTAGGGTTTCACAGAGGCTTCTCTGTTTTGAATGGAGGGGGAGCCATGTTAATCTTTGGCCCCCGAGCCCTTTGAGATCCGTGGGAACCTTTAATATGATTATTTGTGCATAATCAATTACAGTGGTACCTCGGGTTACGAACTTAATTCGTTCCGTGACTCTGGTTGCAACCCGAA